ACCTCAGCCGCTTTAGAATTCCAACCGTTTATAACACCAGAGGCATCAACCGCAAAGATCGGAACAGCTGCTGTATCAATCAAGCGCACCATTTCATTCACGATAACACACAATTCATCTACCTTCTGAACCCTATTATCCACAAACGGGACATTCACAACAGTCTTTGAATGCTCATCTTGCAATGAGCCTTTTATTATTAGCTGCAGAGAATTAATTGCATCCATTTCCATGTCATCCCAGGGCATACTTTTCCACCTAACAATTTCCATAAATGCCTTGAATGAGGATCTAGGATGCATCCTTTTACCATCCCTGTCATTAGGATCATGTCTTGCACCACCCCACTGGATCTGTTTAGCAGTGCCAGACCGAAACCAGAAAAGGAAATCTTTATCGGTTATATATACAGCAGCCATTCCACATATTGACTCCCCAAGAACAGAAGCATCCGGATAGCCAGACTCCATTAGACTTTCAGTGGTAAAGCCAGTGTTTCCTCCATGACTTTTGAGAACCCAATCGATTAGATCTCTAATTTGTGTCTCAGTAGGAGTAACCCCTAGAGACCAGAGCTTCTCTCTGTAATAAAGGGCTGCTCCATCACATTTAACAAGATCCATTATATTTGGTGACTGAGTGACTATACCTATTGGTGCATTGCGAAAGAGCATGTCACATAGCACACTCTGAGTTTGCAGAATACGCTTTTCTTTCAACAGAACAGCTGATTCCGCTTCTTTGTTGACCTGCACGCCAAATACTTGAGTCAAGAACTCACAAGCATATCGTAACGGAAACGGCAGGAACCTAGGACTTGCGTGATGACAAACCACCAAGCCCCATAAGTGTCTGCCAGTCTGTAAATCTCTGTTCATCTCATCACTATCACTACCATTGATTGTTACAGACATAACAAGAGACGCCACTGATCCCATATTACTCATATACTGTGCATGACAACCATGAGGAGCTCTCAAAGTAGATCCAGAAAGACTTATCGGCTGTGAGAGACTCTTATCTTGAACTACTTTAACTGGAACCGCTGAACAATCACAAATCATCCTAACCTTATTTCTCATAAAGAGAAATCTCGAAGCTTGCGGTATATCAGTAGCGGAGTAATGCAACCCAAGATAAGGTTCCAAATCTTCCCTGCAGCATTCAGCAATCACTTCCCCATGCCCATCCTCATGGAACTTATAAACCATCACCCTATCATAACCAGTTAATTCACTAACTTCCTTAACCAAAGCATCACACAGCAACAACATATTCCCACCAGGCAATGCCTGCAATCTCGAAATCGATATCGCCGCAAGCTTATACGATCTTAAAGCCCCAGCAGCAGTCACAGGCACCTCATCCGGACTCACAGGCTCCAAATCTATAACAAGACCTTCCTCAATCCGATGCAAAATCGCATAAAAAGGCTTACTTGAAGACCTACAATGAAGCGTAATCGGATTCAAAATACTAATCTCACCAAAGTCAACAGCTTTCTGCAAAGCAGAACAACCTGGAGACTGAAACAATGACTTCACATCAGTTCCTATACTCAAAGCTTCACGCTGCTCCATACTTGGCACTGTATGTGGAGTCAAACCCAACATCTCCTGAGTGTTTTCACTAAAGGCAATGACTTTAAGGTTTTTTTCATCAACAACGATTAAACAACCAAAGGGTTGAATCAACATCCCTCTCTGAATCTTCTGTAAGTAAGTTGAGACAGCTGAAGAAGGAATTTCACAGGAAGAAGAACTTGGCATGTTCAAGTTTATTGAAGCTGAATAGTCAAATAAACGCTCAGATTCTTCGAAGTTTGTGTGTAGCTTTGCGTCGACGAGAACTTGTGAAGAAACTCGAGAGTTTTTTCTAGATCTAGTAGAACAGCTTCGTGAAGTGTTCGATGACATATTTTCTTCTCTTCAAAACGAATAAAAAAATTTCAGAAATGGAGACAAACCAAAGGATTCAAGGATCCGATTGAGTACTCATTAGGGTTTCGTTTTCTTGGAGATTTTGCTGCGAATTCTCTGAGAGAGAGGATCTTTGGAATGTTCCTTAGTAGTGGTGTGAGAAGAGAAGCTGAGAGAGGAAGGGGGAAGAAGATAAACGTCATGCATTCTTCAGTTGAATAAAGCGAACTGCGTGGCGGGTTGAAGAACCTGACTACGAGAAGTGTTGTCTCGAGTATGGATAGATGAACTGCGTGCCGTTCTTGTCATTTTGGTGTTTAGAAATTAGAATGCTGAGATCAAATAGCATCGGTCCATCACAAATAGCTGAGATGATTGGTAAAGTAGATTTTGACCATTAAACATTGAACTATGTTTGATTGTACTTAATAGTACATTATACATGGTAAACATGACTATGAGATCTACTAGAATTCGGATTTGTTTTTGCGGTGATTGCCCAATGCCAAAACCAAAAACCCAATAGTGTAAACCGAATTGAAACCCGATTCGAGTTATTCACAACCCGAAAGAAATACCTAGTTAAAGAATCCCTAAATTGAGAAATCTAAGAATCCTAGTCTCGATTTCTTCTTTTCAACATCTTCGATTTCAATTTTTAACCTTGACATGCCATGAAGACAGTGTTAAATTTGGGCTAATTCTGGGCTTCCAACTAAAAACCAATTGGCAATTAGTGGATTGGCCCTAACCCTTTATATATTATTGATTGTCCCATCAAATTTCTGATGTGAGACTTGGATTGTATCTCCAACAATCTCCCCTTCAATCCAAAGACCACATGGATCTAACACGCCTCATCGATCCCTCACTCGGATCGATAATAAGCCCCTTTCTCGGGTCCCATTACTCGGGTTGAGGTATGTCCATATCCATTTTTTCTTTGGTCCACCAGACTTTAAACCTTGGGCTCTGATACCATGTTAAATTTGGGCTAATTCTGGGCTTCCAACTAAAAACCAATTGGCAATTAGTGGATTGGCCCTAACCCTTTATATATTATTGATTGTCCCATCAAACTTCCGATGTGAGACTTGGATTGTATCTCCAACAGACAGCTTTAGTTTCGCCTTCTTCTTGTGTCTCCTCCCATTCTTCTGTCTCCAAACGTGCACAGTCGCCTCAATCTGGTTGGCGATTTCAAGAGTCTGATGTTTCGATGAGAGATCAAGACATACCTTGGGCAATGTCTCCAAGTAAGGGTCGGGAATCTCCGTTTCGGCAAGCACGCCGCTGTTAATTGCCAATGCAGCCTTGAGAATCTGGTTAGCAAAGTCCCGACACTGCTGCAGTTTCTTCCTGGCCTCTTCTGACAAACCGTTAGGTGGAGCCTTAGGGCAAGGCAGCCACCACTTGTCCTCTTACCTAACAGAAGCTCGGGAATTGTAAGAATCCTTTTCACATTCACCAAGAACTATGCCACGATTAGTATACCAGAATTCGGTATCGGAGAAAGCGACAAGTATATCGATCAACATAACATCGAGCTTCTTGAGAGCAGAGAGATTGGCATAGAGATCAGAACGTGGACGGGTCTCCATGACCTCATAAGTTCCGCCTCCAAGGAACTGTTGAAATGGAAGGAATGAGCTCAACGATAGAATCGCTAATACAGAGAACCCTAGAAACAAAAAAAATCCCCAAATCCAACATTCCCACCTTCGCCTCTACATCAGTTTGGGGATTTTTTGTTTCTAGGTTCTTCGATTTGGGGATTTTTGGATTCTAGGGTTTCTAGATTTGGGGATTTTTGTGATTTGGGGATTTTCGGGATTAATGGGTAATAAACGGGTTGGTTTCTGGGAAAATCCGGTTTAATTTCGTACGCGGTTAATGGTGTTTCAAAAATAATAAACCAAAGATAAACCATTGATAAACCACAAAATTTGAATTTATGTTGACCGAGGTTTCGAAGTTTCAAATTAGGGAAAACTAGACTATAACTTTTAGTTGGTGTGGACTGAGATCGAGGTCCGAAATCTGTGTAGTTGTTGTACTATAAGAAACTTCCTGGGGGGACACATGTCGTTTACCCATTATAAAATGCATAATTTTAGGTAATAGTTTGTTAAATTTCATAAAACTAGGTGGTTGCCCGCGTAAATGCGCGAGAATAATGGTACACAAAAGGCAAACTCCTAAGAGAAAAGGGAATATTATAAATGTAATAATCTTAGTAGAAAATACAATAGATTCCTCCCATGCGGAGAATACTTCATTTTCCGGCTAAGATTCAACATTCTTTGGTTTTTCTTATTCTATTTTAAGCTTCTCTCGTACCTCAGATTTTGCATTAGTATATATTTGATTTATATTATTCTACTTTAAGTTCCTCTTGTGCTTTAGTTTCTAGTTTCAAAAGTTTATTTTGAAATTTCATAGTCGGGCGGTGAGTTAAAGAGGAAAATGAAGCTTTTTTGTTTTATAAAGATTTTTATTAATTGTAATAAATAATAACATTAATTTAAATTTAAATTAAATTAAATAATTTATATTAAGTAAACATTAATTAATTGTTTCGTCATTTTTAATGGCGGTGGAAACAAAAAAGCTAGTTTAGAGGTTTAAAGTGTTAGTAAAATTATCTTTGTGGTTTATAGTGTTAGTGGAATTCTTTCGAGGTTTAAAGTGCTACTCAGTGATATTTTAAGGGTTAAGAATGTAATTTTCCCATAAATAAAAGTGAATAAACAGGGTGAAGAAAAAGGAACGAGGGATTCGTGAGATTCTTTCCGCCGGTTTCTAATTCCGAGGTCAGTGAGCGATTTTTGACTTGTGTGAGATTGAATGCTCAATATTATCACACTGTCTTTGGTATATCACTCACCATATCTAATTGGAATCTCTCTGTGTCTCTGGAATTTGAGCATCTAAGAGCATCTCCAACCCATCTCTATATTTGCCTCTAAACTCTATTTTAGAGGCAAATCTACTCCAACCCACCTCTATTCTCACCTCTAAAATAGAGATCCCTATTTTTTGCTTTATATATAGAGGATCTCTATTTTTTCTTCTATAAATAGAGTTAAAAAATTTTAGAGGAAGAAATAGAGTAATACATTAGAGTAAAAATAGAGAAAATTCACCTCTATTATAGAGATAGAGGTAAAAATAAAGAAATACAACATTGGAGATGGTCTTAATATACTTCTCTAGAATCCGAAATTATAGCTTCGCTAGTAGTGTCTTAAACCCACCTTGGTTGGGTTAAAAAAAAAGTTTAGATTTAGAACAAAAGAGCTATGGATTTGGCATAACAACAGATTTTGAGCTCTGTTTCTCAATTTTTCTTTTCTTCTAACAATTTTTTTTTTTTTCCGTCTATCCAACACAATTTGTTGTTTAGTTGGATTTCATGTCTATGCAGGATTTAGTGTCTCCACAGGAGATAGGGTTCAGAAACATGGCTAACCGTTCTTATGCATCTTTACAAATTGTATGTATCCAAGAAACAATGTTCCCTTTTTATTTTAACAGAAAGATATATTGTTATATTTGCTGTAACATGATCGTATATATGCAGGGTATAGGGCATGGAGAAGGCACTTCCACTCAAGTAATTCTTATTTCATTTCTTCTCTCAAATCAATTTTCTTTCCAAATTATGTTCAGTGAGATTTATGAGATAATTCGATTGAAGATTTATTTTGTTGTCAAACATGTCTTTTAACTATTGTATGCAATCTTCGTTATCAGGGATCAATAGAGGCAGAGATGTTTGAGGTACATGTGTAAATTTATAATATTTTTTTCTTATACATGTCTCTAGTTGTGTGATCTTCATAATTGGCTTCTTTTTTTATGTTTTATATGCAGAGCGAAATCCCACTTCAGCAAAATACCTACAGACTTGCATCCATTCTTGCCAGAAATTGTTCTACTGAAGCCGGATAAGGGGCTTCTCCATTATTTTGATACCATAGAAGCAAAGGTTACAGTTTGGAGTAATAAAATCGAGGTAAACTTCTCTACAGAGTTTATCTTAATTTTGTCGTTCTTTTACTTTGTTTTCTCAATGAACTTTTCTATTGACTTTAGACTAGGCAAAGCGGAGTTTGGAAGGAAACAATAAAAAGTACATATAGCCAAGGAAGTCATGGTAAATAATCTTTAGTTGGGATGGCCTGTTTATGTAAAATACTCGCCTGAAATCGAATTTTGAATTGGTTGAGTTTTGAATTTAAACCGAACGTAATTTGGACCGGTTCGGCTGCTTTTATACCGGTTTTATACAATCTTATACCTGATTTAGATTCCTCTTGAAATTATCTTTCCGATAGTATATTATACGCATTTTTCTGATAGACGGTTAAATTTAGGTGAATTAATTGGTGGTTTAGGACGTGTCTAAAATTGCCGTTAACTACTCGTTCGGTCCGAAAATCTTTCCAGGTGAGTTCTAACTCCCTTATTAGTTATTATACATTTGTATAATATTTAGGGATATGATAGAAAGAAGATATGAATTATTTGTATGTTTGAATTATGAAAATTAATTATTTGTTTTAGTATTATTATGCTGAATATGATGTGGTGATGAAATATGTTATTCTGTTAACACCGGTATCAGCATGATATTCTGATTTAGCTAGCTCTATTGAGCAATCTGTGGCGGCCGGCATCGCCAACAGTTGTATTCCGTATTCTGTTAGTCTGTTAGTGATATTGAGATCGGTTAATGTCGTGGACTGTACTTCCTTATCACCTCGTTAGAAGCCAACATCCCTATCGAGTATATTATGTAAATATTCTGTTAGTATATGGTTTGGGTCGACCAATGATGGGGTTGTACCCTTTCGATGATGCATTGCTAGATATATGGTCGTTCTGCTCTGATGTTATTATTCTGTCTGATGATATTATTCTGTTCTAATGATTTGATTAAGTATTTCTGATAGTATATGTTCTGTTGTGATTTATTTTATTTATAATTAATTGAATTGGAATTTTTGTTTGTTAGTACCAACACGAGAATATTATTCTGTGCGGGATCAGACCGTGTTGGTACTTGTTCGTCGGGCTTTTAGTCTCACTAGGCGATTTTTTCGCTAACATAAGTTCTGATTTCGTGCAGAGGGCATTGAGGAGGAGCAGCGTGCAGCTGAGGTTTAGAGTTTATTTTTAGTCATAGAGCGAGACTTGGTAGATTCTCCGAAGTTTAATTTAGCTTGTTTTTGAGATTTGGGGTTTTACGAGATTTTAAACTTTATACATTATGGAAATTTCAGTATTTTTATTATATTAGTTTTAGTAATGCTTCAAAAATTCTTTTTGAATTTTTGGGGCGTTAAAAAACTTCTCTACAGAGTTTATCTTAATTTTGTCGTTCTTTTACTTTGTTTTCTCAATGAACTTTTCTATTGATTTCAGATTAGGCAAAGCGGAGTTTGGAAGAAACAATAAAAGTACATAGCCAAGGAAGTCATGGTAAATAATCTTTAGTTGGTTCCATTCAAACTGTTTTTTTTTAAAATTATTGATTGCATTATTGAAGAATATTCTTAATCAAACTTTGCAACGTATTGTTGGGCGCACGCGACTGCTGAGAATATAAGTGAGGCAATGTTTTATAACGCTATTGATGTCCGCTTCACATTATATTCAAAACAGTTTCTGCTTGACTTTTGTAATGATGGCCGAGCATTGGAAAAGTTCATAAATAGCGGAGGGGATCACTATTGTTATGGGTTTCCAACCTATAAAGGTCTACTGTTTGCAATGGTACATGGTATACCAACAACCGGAAATTGGACAAATACTGGGTGTGGAACTGCAGTCAGATCGTGATGTCAGAGCAGTCATATCCAAGCACGTCTTAAATGACGTTAGAGCTTTTACTGATGTTCAGAAGGCTATTCGTTACTTGGAAAAGCAACCAATCCTCGAAAGTCTTGCTGTATACACTCCCGAATTTAGTAATACTAGGTGAATACCACGCTACGCGTGGGCTGTTGTTTTGAAAATTGTTAAAAATAAATTATACTGACCGAATTTTGTTGCTAATTTATGTAGTAACAATTTTGATGGTTGGATTCATTTTTGACTCGAAATATCAATTATACATTTTTCATATATAAATATAATTATCTATATACCTAAGATTATAATTTTTTCACTGTCATAAATACATACAACAATAATATATGATATATTGGTATAATGGTATGTAATTCTCCTCTATATATTAAAAGAGGGTTTTTTGGTGCCTATGTGTCAAACCCACAATTATTCTCATCTTTTTTATTTTTCATTTCTTTAATTCTACTATCCATCTTGCCAAACAATTTTAATTCCATATACTACTTAATCTTATTAACTAAACTTAGCAAAATTAAATATCTCGAACTTTCAAATAAGAAAACTTCTACATAAAGATTTTTTTTATATTAAATACACTGTTTTTTAATTGAAAACAAAAATAATATAAACATATAGTATATGCATTTTGTTACAATAAATTCTTTATTCAAAAAAATTGAAACCGCGAATCTATTAATCTAAATTTATGAATGACGTAAGAAATTTAAAATTGTATTTTTATTTATCAACTAAAAAATTGTGTTATTACATGGTATTTATATAACCTTATTTTAATTTAAAATCTTTAACGAATAAACGAAAATTAGATTTGACATCTTAGGATTCAATATAAAACTTTGAGTTTTTTTTTTAAAATTGTTCTATTATAAATTAAATAACATAAGATTTACATGTGCATGACGCAGGTTCTTACCTAGTGTTACTTATATAGTTTGAAACTTGCCTAACTTGATTATAAACAAACAATTTCTTATTCTATGTACTCTTTCGTGATCTAGTACTCCAACCACGTATATCATAATAGGCTCATGATTAGATACTAAATTGACATATTTTGAACAATACATGTATAAGTAATTATTCATTTGCTTCGATAGTTTTCATTTGAAAAGAGAAAAATAAAGCAAAAAATTGAAGAGTCATTTAGGTCAACATTTTTAGATCTCTCTCCTTGCATTTTGCATATATATGAGAGAATTGTCGTATCTTGAATTTTTTGGTATGTCTAACGTCTCAAATGTCCATTACTTGAAAAAACTTGCATGTCATTGTCAATGTTACCAACTTACCAAAAAACACAAAAATAAAAAGAAAGAATATCATATAATCGTATGTGAACCACAAAACATAAAAAAAAAAAATCAAAGTAAAATACTAAACTAAGAAGAGATTAGGTAGGAAACAGCTAAACTGTAAACTTTATCGTTATCGACCATTGATAAAAAAAAAATTAAAAAAAATAAATAAAATAGTGCTTGATATATTAAAATGATTTTTTACTTTTTATTTTATTTTGAAGAAATCAATTAAAATTGATGAAGGATTTAATACAATTGAGGATTTTTTTATTTTTCTTCACTTAATTTTGTTAATTTTTATTTAATTAATGCAAAATGAGACATGTCATTTTCTTATGTGATGATGTGACACTCATATGGAGAGAGTTGGCCAACTTTCATATATATGATTGGAAACGTAAGTAATTCAATTCGAGTATTATTTTTAATGGTATTTTGTAGGGCTGGGAAAAATAACCGAACCAAAATTTCTGAACCGAACCGAACCGAGATTTTCGGTTTTCGGTTCGGTTTCGGTTCAGAGAAGATAACCGATCAGATGGACTTATAATATGCAATCGGTTATCACTTCGGTTCGTCCTAACCGAACGGTTACCCAAATTTAACCGAACTACCCGACCCGATTTAACCAAAATTAACCAAACTATCCGTACTACCCGAAATTAACAGAACTAACCGACCCGATTTAACCAAAATTAACCGGATTACCCTTATTTATCCGAATTAACCGAGATAATTGACCCGATTTAACTGAATTAACCAAACTTAACCAAATATCTAAAATATTCGGTTAATTTCGGTAACCAAAACAAATACCCGAAAAACCCGATACTCGAACCGAACCGAACCGTTTATTAATTCGGTTATTTTTGGTACCATTACTCAAATTCCGAACTACCCGAAGTCGCAGGCCTAGTATTTTGTTTTGAATACTGTATAGTTAAATTGTAATTTTAACTTAAAACTATCTTCTTTGCTTATGGTGTAGAGGGTGTATCGTGGACCAAAATCATCTTCTTCCACATTCAGGAATTGATATTCGGTTTCGATCCGTTCGATTAAGGTCGATAAAGACGGAGAGACGATTGCATATATTAAAAACAGTCATGGCGATAATATGGGACTTCGTGGATATGTTAAAGTTTCTGTGGATGTGATGCTGGTCTAGTTAAATACACGCGGAAAACCATCATTCAAATCGCCAAGTAGTCTGTTCAGGCAATTTTATTATGGAGATGTCAGATTTGAATATCAAGTATATCTTTTTTGTATTTTTGTTGCCAAATACTTAATGATCAGAAGTTCTCTAATATTTTTTCAACGTTTTCTTTTTCAGAAAAAAGTTGTTGCTAACAGTCGCCTTGGTCCGGTGGTAAAGGGAGGTAATTCCTGCCACCTGGGTTCGAGTAGCATTGGCCACCGAGGTTCGAGCAATTTAACATGGTTTTCCCGAGCCCCAGGATTAGTCTTTGGGCCTAAAAAACCTTTAGGATCACCTGAGCTATAAAAAAAAAAAAAAAAAAAAAAGTTGTTGAATATCATGTGGAGGGTGAACTAACAGTAAACTTGGCGTACTTGATTTATGAAGGAATATATCATAACACATCTGGCCATGTCTACGAGGTAAAGATTAATCTTATTGGATACCCCATAAATTTGATTACAAAATTTGAATTTTACACAATGAGGGTGGTAGTAAGGAAATTATTGGCTCTCCAATAGACCGAGCATTATTTAAATTAAATGGGCCATACATGTATTTTGCAGTTATATTTTATTTTCTTGTTTAAGTTTGTGTAGTTTTCTTTTTAACCATTTTCGAACTCCTCAGTCTGAGAAGGACATGGGAAGGGTTTATAACAAAGCTGACTCCACAACAATTAAAGGTTGTTCATCTAATTCGAGGTCAAGATACTCAAGCGTGGCTGTGAACTGTGTATGTGTGTGTTCCCATTTTTTTTAGTTGTTCGTTTTTTCTTTTATTCTATTTCTAATGACCATTGTATTCTTTTGTCAACTTGTGTTCCATTCTCAGGAAATAGCCGGTACGCGTGGCCTTCGGATGCATTGGAAAGGCAAAGCTTCAGTCATTCTGGATAAATGCACAATGATTTTGGAGAATGATGCGTATAGAAAAATGACTACATCCAAGGTCTGACAATCATTGTTTCTTTACTTTACACATGTTTTCCTTCTTAATTAAGCTTTTTCATTTCAGAAAAGCCAACTCAAAGAAGCTATCAACAGAATGGAGGCACAAAACCTTATTTGCATCGCTCTCGCCTTCAAAAACAGTGATAGTACATGTGTTCCACCTCATGATAGACTAAACCTTTGGAAATTTCCATTTGAAAACCTCTCATTCTGCTAGGTATCTTTGGCATTGAGGTAAAATTTCATTCCTTACTAGTTTAACTCTTAACAAAATCTTGTATTGTTATGTTTGCTTTCATAACATCTCATTGTAAATTTTCTTGCAGGATCCATGTCTACCAGCGGAAGGTGATGAGATACGTGTACGTAGATCTCTTTTTTTCTTTCTGTTCTTGTTTATGTTTTGTCCCTTTTTAGTGAGTTTTCTAATTTTCATAAATGATTATTGTTCACAGGCTCCAATAGATTTCCACGGAAACCGCAATGAAGAGGTTCGGTTGCATTTGCGTTGTCACAGCGATTACTTTTTCTAGAGTCGCTCGGTTCTAATATTTTGTTTTTGTTGTTGATTTTTATGTAGGGGCTACGTGACAGTGTTTGGGATGATGGTGAAATCTGTATCGCACCTGAGTCAGATTCAGAAGTAAATATCTTTCTCTGTCTTTTGATTTCGGTCCTTTTAACTATCTCCTTCTCAATGCTTCCTATGATTTCCTCTTTTTACATTCACAAATTCGTAATTGGATATTTCTAATTTGTCTTTGTTGATATGACCAGTCACTAATGAATAGCAATCTGTTCCCTTTTTCTCTTTTGGATGTTGATATAGTTGCGGATTTGTTGATGTGCATAGGTTTCTGATGTGCCTGAGGACATAAAACCTCATCAGTGGCTTGGACTTTATTGTTACAATTTTCAGAAGGTTTTTTTTTGTTTTTAATCTTTGTTCTAACCCTGTTTTATACCGCACACTTTCTCATCTTATATTATCTATGGTTAAGCTTACTGTCTCACTTTCTGATCTTGTAGGGCACAGACTACGAGTTTAAGTGTGTGAGAAATTGTTACACTGAGTTTGGTTCGTTGATAACATTGGAGGCAATGAATCCAGCTAACAGTTCTCCACTCACTTTTGAGATGTTGGTTAAGCATGATGACCTTACAGAAGGTGTGCAATCATGGTGGAAGGTAAAAGAACACTTGCACCATTCGTAGGTTGTCGGTGTCTCAGCCATATTTAAGGACTGACTTTCTTTTTTTCCTCGGAGATCAAAGGTAGCAAAGAGGCTGATCATGAGTGGGACAATGAGGCAATAGATGATCGGTACAAAGGTGAAATGCCCAAATGGTTGTCTGATGACGATCTGCAACATTGCTATGTGGTAACTCTCTGCTGCATCTAGTTGTTAACTAATTAAAGAGTATATGTAGTTGCTTTTAACCAAGTCATGTCTTGTTAATGACTGTTGGCTGTGGATCCCATCAGGTGAAAGATTCAGAGTTGATGGAAACTAAAAATTGGTGGCTGCTTCTCTTCTCTGAGTTTGCATTCTACACGAAATGGTCCGGAACGCTCAGACCGAGAGATGCTGTGGAATGCCTGCCATTGGAGACTCAAAAGGTGGTTGTGGAAACTCAAGGGAAAGCTGAAACAGAGCCGCGCGAGCTGAGAAGCTCAAGGCGGCAAATGCAATCTTCTACATAAGCTTTGAATGTGGAAATGATCCAGTAACAGGCAAGGTGGCTAATTACAGAGCTGTTGTACGAAAGACAATGGATGGGAAACCAGGACACATGCGTCTAGAGGTTAGGTGTTGGAGCATCTAATCGAGTGGAAGATGGC